TATAAATTGCTTTACCTTCTTATATCTAGTAGTAGACATGCGATATGTCGATGTCTGTTTTAACATTGTCCATATTTATAATTCAATAAGTTGTAACAGTCCTTTTCAACCCGATCTACTTCACTGATTTTTACGGTCTCTTTTAAAAGCTTAAGATCTAGCGCAGCACAAAATGGTAATTAAAAGGATATTTCGATTAGGGCTTCAAAAGGTTGACCACTAAGCCTTTGATTTATTTTTAGAAGGTGCTTCCAATGGTTGACCAACTTTTACACTATACAGTAACAGTTTAAAAGTGAAATGTGAGTAATACTCATCAGATCAATTTTTAAGTCAGGTTGTGAAAACATGAATAGATCGCCTGCAACTGTAAACAGGAAATGAAAAAGTTATGAAAATAATATAATATTGCGCACTTTTCACATGGTCAAGTGTTACATCGTACTGAACCATTGTTTTTTACAGACATTTCTTAAAGGATAAAGTGAATAAACTGTGGTGAACTTCCGGTTTATTCAATGTAGGGCAGGCCTAGTAGTGATAATTGTTTAGTAAACCAAAACTCAGTTGTAAACTGTTAAATTGAGAAAGAGGATCAATAAAAGTCAGGTGTATAATGGTAAATTTTTCATATCACCTAGTAGTAAAAAGTTAGTTTCTAAGATTTTAGATCTTTAGATGCGTACTAAGAAAATATTTAATTGTAGCACATTCGCATATTCATAGAATGTATAAAGTCTTATTGGAAAATCCTGCCTTAAAACAAAACTTGTCCATAAATAAGTGTTCAAAAGATTCATTCATAAGAATACCATATAGGAAGTGAATAAGCAGGTTTCCTGCCAGTAAAATGTTAAAATGAGGCATTTTAAGGTAGTATACAGAACAGAATTAGGTGAAACCCGTCGACATTGACGGTTACTTTCAAGGCTTATGCTAATTCATATAACTGCGATAAATAGATAGAAGAAATAAAAATTTTGAGCATTTAGCTCTTTAGCTTTTTTGATGAGTAATAAGTGTAAAAGCAATAATGACTATTGCGTTAGATACAAAATAAGGTTGACCATTCAATTAATAAAATATTTCCCATACCGTACGTCATAAGAGTTATTATTGCAATTTTAACTGGTTTCTCTTCTTTTGGAAGAACCTTTAAATAGTATTAAAATCTTATTGGTCAATCTTTTGTGATAAACACTTCCGATCCGCGCTCATGCATGCGCTGTTAGATGTTACTGTATGTGAAAGTTGCTCAACAATTTAAATCACTGTCTGGAAATGAATCAAATGCTTAAGGGTCACACTTTTGAAGCCCTTTATCAACATATAGTTTTAAATACCATTTTGCGTTAAGCTGGATCTTAAGATTTAAAATTACACCTCAATCATAAATATCAGTGAAGTAGTTCTGGTTACAGTAGGCTGTTACAGCTTATTTCATTAGGAAGATAGATAATGTTAAACAAGACAATGACATATCACATGCTTAATACTAGATATTAGAGGGTAATGACTAACCGAAGAGCCGTTGATTTACATAAAGCAATTAATAAAATCAATTACAACAATGAATATTGGCCGATACATGGCAGAGCTGACCACGGGGGATAGATGTCCGGGGGTAGATGTCTGGGGGTAGATGTCCGGGGGTAGATTTCCAGTCGCGGGCTGTTTCTCGACCGTGTATAAGCCCCGCCCCTCGTGACGTCAAAATGACGTAGGCGTTTTTTCATGGGGGTAAATATCTGGGGGTAGAAATCCGGCGACCCAATAAAATGTGATTTCAAGCAAATTAAGGTCTTGGTAACCATTAGGTAAGTTGTTCGGGAGACGGACAGCGGACCAGATCTTTGTTTGGGTTAATCCCCTGATTGGCCTGAGGGTAGTGGTCACCGGAGGAGTGGTGGGGAAATTCTGAATCCTACCGCAGGCGTTAACTTTTTGTCAAAGATTTCGCTTAGAATGCGATTACTTCTTAACTGTACAGCTTTTGTTAGAATTTATAATTTTATCATCAGTACTATTTTTCGATTAGTAAACCTTTATTCGATTTTTTCACTATCAACAAGTTTGGTTGGTTTGGTTTGGTTATGATAGTTTAATTTTATAATTAAAAAATTAAAAAAAAAATAATTTAGGCATTTGTAATTTTATTTTATGAACAGAACTATATTTTTTATTAGTAAACCTTCATTTGATTTTTCATTATCAGCTAGTTTGTTTATGTTATGACAGTTAAATTAAATTTAAATTTAACCTATAAACAATACGTTTTGATAGCGACGGTGGTAGAGCTAACAATTTGCCTAGAACAGTTCGGCTATGCACGGTATGATGCGGAAGCGTTCAACACCAACCTAGAACTGACAGGTCAACCAACCGTGATTAAGAGGATTACAGCCTCGGCCATGTGCATACACCCAAGTTGTTCAAGGTCGTAAATGATTAGAAAATGTGAAATAGAGACCAATCCCATATTATCCCCCAAACCTACACAATCCCCCCTTTAGAAACCAAAATTACAGGAAATGAATATAGACCTAATATGTTTTGTATTTGTTTACATTCAGTTGGATATTTATAGGCATGTACTGTGGATGCGATACTCCCTGGTGTGGATTAACGTCCGCACGGGTGAGTACTACGACTATCCGCAGTACCATCCTGATAATTAGACCAATTCGTATATACCAAGGAAAAAAAGTGGTTCGGATTCCACTATAAAACTGTAGGTCCCTTAGTCGCCATTAGCTGTATGGGCTAGTCACTAACAAGACTACAAGATCACGCCACTCATCATACACTCATCTCCATTCATACTTGGCTTAAAATACCTACTTTGTACGGTCGCCATTTCAAAGAAAAGTATAAAGTATAAAGTTGCGTATTCATTGTTCTCATATTCCATACAGTTCAGAAACATTACGCACATTTATATTCACTGTACTTTATATCAAAGAATATCGATTAAGAAACACACAATTACATGTAACACAAAATTAGCACTCGTCACTAGTCCGTTGCATTGTGATAACTCAAAATCATCGGAATAAAAACCGCCAATATAAGATACAGTAGTTGGTATGTCTGCAGCGGCCTCCACAGCTGGGTGCGCTGCCGCTCTACCCATCCCTACCTTTAAGACAACGAAGTGAGCTGACGGTAGAGTAAATTGTCGAAGAAGAGGATTCTCGTATTTAATTTTACTCGGTCAACGGGACTGAGGATGAAATAGCTTGTCGATGAGGTTTTTCGCATTTATATATTTAATTAAAAAAAACACGGTCTAGTGGCCTGACGAAGTAAATTGTCATTCTACTGGCTAAATGAATTATTGTAGTTCACACATCCGCTAGACACTTAACCAACTCTTCTAAAGAATTTTATGGTTTACTCGTAGGTTTTTTTAATGTTTTCATATAATTTCAAAAAGATTTTCATTATAGTTTTATAACATATGCTAAATAATCTTTATCAAGACGCTTCAAACATTGTTCAAAATATCATTCAAGCATTTTAGGACACAAGAAATAACAGTAAGATGTCAGATTTATAATTTAACAAAGATACTTTTTAATTTCACCCAATTCATATCAAAAAAAATTTCTCCCGCCTGTTATTTGTACGATATTTCCCAAGCGGGAGCACGCACGACACTGCGTCATTGCTAATTAAGGTTGGTTAGAGAAATGTTTAAAACTGAGTAACCCAACCTAGACTCCTTTTCGGACTTTGAATGGTTCGTATGTTCACTTGCTCATGACACATACTCGCACATTGTTAACTTAATGTATCCTATTTTTAAATTTGATCATTTGAGACGGTTCAGTACAGATCAGAGTTGTCAAGACCTATTTTACTGTAGTTACATTTGTTTTAAAATAATTCTAAATACATTTTCTTTGTTTTAGGAAATGTTTCCAATGATTTTGTGTCAAGAACAACAAACCAAAAACAGTTGTCAAGGCCTAATTATAAGAGCTATCCCGATCATAATCGTAATCATGAAAGTCACAAATCTAAAAAACGGAAACGAAAAAGGTTTGGAAAGAATAGGCCTACACCAGACAACTCTCAATATCAATATCATTGTGAGAGTCGCTCAACTGTTACTTCAGCTACTCAATTATCATCCATACCTAGTTCAACTGTCGTAACTCATGAAAATACTTCACTAATGCAAAAACTGATCACTTCAGGCTTAGCCAAGCCACCAAATGCAACTGAGTCTAGTTCAGAAATGGATAATGTTATTAAGAAGGAAATTACAATCAGCGATAATGTTGAGAGTAAAGATTACAGTGATGATAGTGAAATTGAAGTAATCATACCTCCCAAAAAAATTCCACCTTTAGTTACTTTAGATTCAGATGGTGAAGAAATGGAACAGTTATCACAAAGTAACCCTGAAAAAGACAAGAGTTGTACAAGCACTCTTGATGATAACCAGAATCCTCCATTGAACGTGACTCCTGCTACAAATGAAGAGACTGATGTAAGTAATAACTTGACACTCAACAAAAACGGAGCTAATAATGAAAACCTTGACTGTATTGAAGTAACAGCTAATGGCTCGCCCATCAGCCAAGTATTTGAGTCCAATGATTCTCCAGACACGTTATCCTCAGAGTTGTGCATGTCACTGTCATATTCCCCCTCCAGCCCATCATCAGTGAGTGGTTGTGAGAATAACATAACCAGCAATCTGAACCGCCAATCTTCAGTGGGCAACAACAAAAGACCTGCTCATTTTTCAAAATTTGAAAGTGACACCCGTATAGATTGTTCTTCCGCTAGTAGTGAAGAAATTAGTTCAGAAATTTGGTTGGACCAAACTGAAAATCAAAATTCTGGAAATTTAGAAAACAATCACTCTCCTGAAAGTCAAATTGTTAATCAAAAGGAGACTGACAATAAAGCAAGGGAAAGGAGAAATAGTTTGAGCAATGAAAATTCTCTTTCAGTTTTGGTGGAAGATTTCATAATGATGTCAACAACTATGGCAAAGGAACAGCAGCAGGACATTGTCCTTATTAGTGAATCAAATGCAACCGGACTTGAAACTAATGGAAGTGTTTCAAATGATGATCAGGAACCATACAGCCCATCTTCAGAATACAGTTATAAACCCGTCAATGACAAAAATAGTAAAACATTCTCTACTGGTAAAGAATCTACTTCGTATCTAATTCCAAAATTAACTTTAGGTACATTTATCCCTAAAGATAACTGCATTGAAACAATTACTCCTGGTGCTTCCTCAAAACTAATTGTCAAACCAGTTGAGCCCAGAAAAGATCAAGTAAATCTAGATGAGAATAATCGCAAACAACATAATATTGATGATAATGAAAATGATGAAGATAATGTTTCCCAGCTTAGGATGATTGCATTACAAACCAAAAAGAAAACAACGCAAGAGGAAACTCAATCAGATTCTAATGATAAAAGTACATCTCAAACAGCTTTAGACCAAATTGTCGAAGAGATTGCTGAGCCAGAATCCTCAGAAGCTCCTTGTGGCTTAAATGAAGATGACGATGTTTTACAATTACGTGTTGCTGCACTGAAATCAGCTGTCATGAAAAAGTACGGTGAGCGCAAGAAGAAAGGACTGGTTGTTAAAAAACGGAAGAGGGCTCCTTCTGGATTTGGAGATGACATATTTTCTGTTCATGAAAGCAACACAGCTCTGGACCAAGAAAACACAACACCTCTTTCACCAAATATATCGTCAACTTCTGTTCAAGGTGAAGAGGATATGGAGTTGGCTGAATCAGATCTTGGAGAAGATGTTATTGAAGAGCTTCCTGAAACTTCAGTTGTTGAAAAACCAAAACTGTTTGCACCTGTTCATTTAGGCTTAAAACCCCTGTATGATGGTTCAGTGACACATTCAGTGAATTCATGCTCAGTTGTACCACCTCAACCCTTGCCTCCAGGTGTTGATGGTGACTGTCCGGAGATGATTGACCCAACAATATTGAGGTCAGTTTTACCTCCTCCCCCACCCCCTCCTCTTCTACGATCACCTCCTCCTTTAACAATTACATCAATGCTTCATCCTCCACCCCCACCCCCTTTCCCCTCTCATAGTAAATCTGAAGTTTTAGGAGAAATATCAAATCAACTGAATGTTGAAGAAGAGTTTGCTGCTTCCAGTTCTCTTTTTGGTAATCGTTCTTTTGACAATGAATCAGATATGAATCAACCAAACTTCAGTAATCGAATGAAAGTTGACAGTTCCAAGAAGTCTGATTCTATAAAAACTAGTTTGAGAAATAATTTAATCACAGTTGATGTTGTAAAAAATGTACCAAAGAAAGTCCCCCCGCCAAAAAAAAAGAGGAGGAGGAAGGTTAGGAAAGAATATATAAAATTAAAGGCTGAGCTTGATAGAGAGTTAGATTTACTTTGTATTACCAAACCTCCAGGGAAATCTACGACCAAATCAGCTGGTAGTGCAAATTTAACCAAAAATAAACAGGGTAGGCCTAGTGTTAGTTCTGGATATGGAAAGCATTGTGAAACCAGTCCAGAAAAGATTACGCCTAAAGATTACGAGAGCTCATCGCCCATTGTTTTGTGCAAAACAGATTTGCCTGCAGATAATTGGACAGATGATGATAACTCAGGAAACGTTTTACAAAAACAACAACACACAGGGATTGACGCTGAAGAAAATTTTAACTTCTCTGATGAGTCTCCCATGGCTGACAATGATATAGATCTTTCTGACATGATTGTTCTAGACGAAGTTGGAATGTCTCCTGAACATAAATCTAAATATGATAGCACACATGACTACAGTTTTCCTTATGAAGATGAGGACGAGGACACTTTAAGGATCCGTGCATTAACATCATTATCTCCTAAACCTCTCTTTAAAACACCAACCACTACTCCCCCTCAGAATTCATACCCTCAGACTGAACCTTATGGTAGTTACCAAGGCAATAAGGAATACACTCAAAGGAAAATATTAGCTCCAGGAAAACCGAAAGAAGTTATCAAGCGAAGAAAAGTCGTTGGTGAAACCTCAAAATATCGACTCACTCGAATGAGTAATGATCGAAGGAGTGTGCTTCATGGGAAAGAGACATTAAAAGTTGTCGTCCCAACGAATTCTCAGTCCCATGCACCTGTGGAACAGTCTTTGCCAGTTGTACAGAGATTAGTGATCAATGTAAATAAAGATTCCGACAGTGAAGAAGAATGCGAATGGACCAGAAAAATACGAATACAGGAAACCAATACACTGCCACCTCTAGGACCGGTGGTAGACTATGAGCTTGAACGCAGTATAGACGAATTGTTAATGAGAGCTCGCAACAGCTCTGAAAACGTATCTTCTAGAAAAAGTCAAGATGTAAGAGCTCAAAGTTTCACACAGAAAAGAGATCGTAGAAGTAGTACTGATGATGACTCGCTACATGGCACCCCAATGGTAAGTTACTAGTTTGTGGGTTTTAAACGTAAATCTCAAGGTTGCAAACAAAAGATGATTTATTTGTGTGCAGCAGTAGGGAAAATGGGTTTAAAATGTGCTGCTACAATTCTTAAAAAGTTGAACTGGTATTTTTTAATCTCATATGTTTTTTTTATTTTCAATGTGTGTTCACTAAAATGCATTATAGGCCTAAACGTTTTTACAACTGCGTTGTGAGGATATAAAGAGAGTAGCATCTTGCAAAATTAGTTGATCAGCCTACATAACAGTTTTTTGTTTGTTGACACGTCCAGTCTGTAGATTTAGATAGTTTTAAATAAATTGAATGATCATGATTGAAATTCCTGGTCTTAATATTGTAAACATTTTACTGTTTATTAAGCTCTACATCTGACCTAGAATTGGGTGTTAGCCTAATCATGAATAATATAATTTTTTGAATACCCTCCAATGGTGTTTTCATGTGTGATGAGTGTAACTTCTTAAATATATGTATTGGGATATTACAGAAAATGTATTGTTTCTATTATATCTCAACTTTGAAAACAAAACGCACTTCCATTGAAATTCCTGTTTTGTGCCTTGATAGTAGTAATTACATTTATTTCGCCTGTTTGAATAATTATTATTTATCTATTTTGTAGAAGCTGTTGCCCATTGAAAAACAGGAAGAATACAAACGTTTGAAAGCTATTTTAGAACAGAAGGAGAGGGAAAGAAGGTTGAAGAGAATTCCTAGGAAGGCAACAGAGACATCTAAATCACTTTTAAAACAGGTTCTTACGACAGAAAACAACAAACAGATTAAAGAGAATTCAAACCAAAACATCCATAGTAGGCCTAATAGTAGCCATGGGGACCTGAATTTGGATGAAAGGATATTAGAAAATTACGGCTCAAGTAACCCTAGAAATGTGAATGTTAAAGAAGACTCCATAAGCTCAGGTTTTAGTGATGCAGATGAAATAATCAGTTCTTTCCACCATGAAGAAAATATTGCAAGGAGACTAAATTCAGACTGTCATAATGTTCAGAATGAACAATTGAAGTCCTCGGATCAAAAAATTTGTGTGCCGACAGTTAACCTTATTACTGATAGAAAAATTGAGACGGATTCAAAAAATCTAGATCAGTCCCAAAGAGCCACCAACTCAGACTCAGATGAAAGCAGATCAAAACGGTTAAGTGTAGACACAACAACAGCAGCTATGAAAGAAAAGTCAGAAAACCTAAGCGGGCAAAGAAAAATAGTTTCTTCAGTCCAGAAAAATAATGCCACAAATAGAGAAAATATATCTAGTTACGAGTTGGAAATGAACAAAGAAAATTCACCAAAAATATCTTGTGAATCTCAATCTAGTTCTACAGTAGGTAACTTTTCCACAACCGGGGATTTCTATTTCAGCCAAACTACGGCAAGCGCTTCTGGACTTTTTGGGCTGAATTCCGGAGACATAGAACCCTGTAGTAGAGTCAATAATTGTGACAATGAAAATAATGTATCGACTAAAGAAACGCTCAGTGACAAAGTGGGTGATGTTCGAGATTTTTCTCCTGATTCTGGTAAATCCTCTGTAGAACATTTTAATAGACATCAGTTTTTGAATCCAGAAACTAGATGTGAAATACAGGTGGAGGAACAGAACGCGGAATCCAATTCAACAGAAAATATTAAAGAAGCTCTTGCCCCAGAAGATTTAAAAGACTCAAGTCAATCAGACCCAAAACCATGTTCTCAGGAAGAGTTGGGAGCCAAAAAATCAGAACTGCTTAGTGAAAGGTATGTAGTAAGTTACACGTTTTAAGATAATGTTTGCATATTCTAGATAAGTTTGTAGGTGTTTGGATTTTCTTGCCAATGCACGGGAGTTGAGTTTTTTTTCAGCTTCAGTATGGTTTATGTGAGAGTGTGTGCAAATATTCTGCTTGGTTTTAACTTAACCAAAGAGATTGAATCATTGCCAGTATTCTCAAGTTAGAAATGACTAACTTAAAAAATCAGTGATCAACTTTAGTTTGCTTGACTAGCCAATTTGAATGGTCACATAAATACAGTAAAATAACTATTATTAAATAACAGCATTAAAACAGTGTTTTATACACAGTAATAATTGTCAATAAACTACTAATAATAAACAATTAAAATTAAATACTAATGTAAAGAACCCTCATTGTTTCTTTCATAGATTTATACAAATTAATTTCTACTTTTATATATACATTTTCAATTGCTACATTTTCAACCTACAGTAGAACCCGGGTTAACCATAACGGTTCCAAAAATTAATACAGGGCTAAAATATAAGTAATATGTTGACAGAGAGGCCCTTTCCTCTCTCGAAAGGGACTTTTCTATAACCCATTGTAACATTTTTGCAGCTGAAATAAAACACTGTATTATATAGACATTGTTTTAAATTTATTTTTCCTACAAACTGTGGTAATACATAGGCTATTTTTAGCATTTGATGGGTTAACCGAAAAATTGGTTATCCGAAAATGCTCTCCCCCGTTTATTTCGGTTAACCAGGGTTCTAGTTAAAAATGTAGCAATTGAAAATATATATTTAAAAGTAAAAATTAATTAATTAAATTAATTAAAGGAAGGGATGGATTAAGCACCCTTATTCATGGTACATCCAAAATGGAGAAAGCACCCCTGGAACAAATAAGCCCAAAATGATTGTAATTATCATTATATTAAAACCTGTGTAGGAAATACAAGGCACATTGATATTAAATAAAACACAGTCAGGAATTACAACAAGTCTATTGTCTGAGTTAAAGTTAAAGAAATCTTGAAAAATTATGATAACCTTGTATAATTTGATATTTTCTCCAGGCAACAGGCAGAATAAACTTGTCCTCGCTCTACCAATGCTCTACGAATTGAGCCCCTACTTTATTAATAACTCTTACCTCAACCTTAGGCTTCTTATTTTTTTTTAAATCAGTTTTTCAATAAATTTTTACTAATGGGCTTTTGAAGAGGTTAAAATAAAATGATTTTATGTCAAAGATTTGGATTGCTGGACGACCTGTCGGAGATGACCGAGTCACTGGATGATCTGGACAGTCAACAGCGCAGGTTGGAGCAAGCGGTTGTAGACATTAGCGAGCTGCGCAGAGCACTGCGTGCCGCAGAAGACTCTCTGCATAAACAGCTGTTGGTGGCTAAAGATAGCGAGCAGAGACTCCGTGATACACATTCTGCTGTCAATGTGAGGTGTTCGAACATCATACAGCTGGAGACTACGCTTCACCGCGCTTCTTTTGAGTGAGTGACAACTGTTGTGAGTTACGAGGGCCGTTTGGAAAGTAACCTCTGGCCAGTTGTGTAAAAACATTAATGTAAATAAAACACTGTGTTTAATACATCTTAAAGTTCCTTTTTCAATATTAAATGGGAATACGGAAGCTAACATCTACAATGAAATTACATCTTGACTTTATTCTTTTACATAATTATCATACACATTTCAGTACTTATGGAAGCCTTTTACAAGCTTAAAAGTTCTGTTCAGAAAATCTCATGCCTGTGCCTTTGAGCCATTGCTCACACTTTTAAGTCAAATCAAATTAGATACTTTATTGTCATTTATAACAAACGTGGAAAAGACATAGTCATCATACAAAATATTTAATAGGGTTACACTTTAAGGCCCGTTCACACTTGGCAACTAACTCGCCGCAACTTAGTTGCTGCTACTATTAGTCACATCTACTACTCACCAGCAAAATATACTCTTGAGTCATGGCGAGTTGTAGCGGCTGCTTCAGATTGGTTGTGTTTACTGTGCTGAGAAAATTGTCATCTGTGGGAATTATGAAAATAAAGAACTGTCTAATCCATGACATACAATGATCTAGGGCCTGGAAAATTTACATTTAAAATGCATTGGCCTTGAATAAACATATTCCTTGTCTTCTATTTATTCATTGAGCTATTATGTATTTTCTTTTGTTATTTTCTCTTCTGTATTTTTATCAAACTCAGGTTAAGAGGTAGAAAGGTCGTGTGGCCCTAACTTTGTGTGAATAAACTATTTTTATGTCGTTCCATTTTATTTAAATACAATAAAGTCATATTATCGATGGACGAATCGGAACTCAGGAGTGTGAAAGACCTTGATTGGTCCCAAGGTCCTTTCGCAGAATTATTATCCTAGAGTCCTGGCTTCTGTTCTCTTGGCAGCTCACCAGTTAAGTTAGATGTAATTAATAATATAAATTACTAGCAGAGTACCCTTCCTTCGTACGAGGTTGGAGTATAAGTTTAAATTGCTTTTGCAGTTATACTCAAGCTTTGCATTTGCAATAAGGGAGGACACAGTTTGATAAAATTTGCTTTTTTAAATTTACATATTCTATAGTATTACACATCTACCATAGCCATAATGTTCTAACACTTCACCTAAACAATATAGGAAAATAAGTTATCAACAATTCACAAAATATCACAAATTATTCATGAAATGAAAAACATAAACATAACTGTAAACAATCCTACTTTGACAGTTCTCATTGCGAATCACAGTTTTTTGTTGCTGCTTAGTTCAAATTAGCTGTTTTCATAAATGCAAAAAAATATAGTGCTGCACCCTGTTGGTAAATCTTATAACTTTTTAATGCTTTTCCATATCATAGATCCAACTTTTTTAGTTGAAACAGCTGACTAAATTCTTTAATTCGCTTTAAATATGAATACTCATAAGGTTAACATGGGGAATTACAGAGCCACTGGGGCGGAGCCCGAAGGGATTTTTGAGATAAGAATATGCCTATATGTTAATCGGGAATGTAAGCTATCATCATGCCAAATTTCAGCCCAATCCGTCCAGTGGTTTATGCGTGATTGAACTTCAAACACACAAACAAACACACAAACTTTCACATTTATAATATTAGTAAGATTTAAGTGCATTTCTTGAAAATACTCAATAAAGGCAGCCTAAACTTGGCTATAAATCAAAACTCTGAAGAAGCCGTTTGTAATGTATTCTTGTATTTTTACTTTTACCACAAATCTTTATAAAAATTATACTTTTCTTAATTATGTGCAAATCTACACAGATTAAACTTTCCAACAACCCATTCATTAATAATCTCGGTCCAGTAGAACTGTAGATTTAGTTGTACACAGATTTTCAAAACTGAATTATTATAAGAGTAGATTACAACACTGATTTGAACAACAGTTATTTCCAAAATGGCATCTATGATGTTTATTTTATGGCTAAAACATTTACTCGGTGGCAAGTGCTAGTTGCCACTACTTTCTGTTCTCACTTAACGATTAGTAGCCGCTGCTCTAGTCGCAGCGAGTAATTTGCCAAGTGTGAACAAACCTTAACCCAGTCAAGATTAGATCAATAAGCCTAAAAACACAAATCACATAACCACACACATAGGGGGGTGGGCCTTATATCACAAACATCAAAAGGAAAACATTTAAAAGTATAAAAAGTGAATTCAAACAAGTACATATAAGTTGTTTGTAATCAGAGAACGACTGGTGTTTCATATGACCCCATGATATACTCTCAGCCACGTCACATTATACTAGAAGAAATGGGAGCTACTGGTTAGCATATGGGGTTTTGTATGACCCTTTAGATGAACCCTTTCACAAATTTCTTCCTCAGTTATCACATTTGGTACTTTCAAAATTTCTGATGAATAGCTGCAGCCAAAAACTGGTAATTTTGATGTTAAAAATCTTATAACGGCTTACACTTTACTCTTGGTGGAGGATTTGGACAGCAACTGATCTGCTGCTTAAGTTTGTAGCCGATTGGCCATGCCACTATTCTCTCCATAGGGTTATCTGTCAAACGGAGGTTACTTTCAGAATGGTCCTCGTACATGATGTGAATATATATAACAGTAACTGTTGTCATATTTGAGGAATGGAAATAATATGTTAAAACCAAATTTTAAAAGTGGTGTTTTATTATTTAAACAGTGCTCATCTAGTATGTTAGTAGGCCTTTTAGAAGTAACCTATATTGTGATTAGCTTAAGAGAGGATTAATTAGTTTTGCTACATCCATACAGTTAATTTTTTTCATTACTTATCCCTCTCTTTTGTAGTAGGCACAAAACTCCATATAAAACTGGCGTATTCCTCAGAGCTCATTATGAGCGTGAAGAAGATTTAAGCTTTTGATAAAGTTATACTTCTTAAAAAAAATATTTTATAACTAATAGCCTATAAATAATTTTGCGTTATTTAATAATGAATAGTATATTTCGTATCTAGTGCCGAAAATGAGGCTGTGCCGGCTCGAGATCATTTTTAAGTTTGAGACGATGTCGAGAACTTAAAACGATATAGAGCTGCAAAACCATTTGGCCCATGGTACGAACGCTATCTTTCACCACACTACACCCTCTTACCACTATTCACCACAATAATGATGCACATTAATAGTCAACACTACTACAAATTAAAGGTTATGTGAAATATTTTGAGAAATCAGCAAAAACAATAATAAATACTAAATAGTTGCCTAGGTAGCGGCATAGACTAACAAACACGAGTAGTTCCATGTCTACTTCTGTACACCATTGTAAATTTTGAAGCTCGTTTTTCGTGTCTAGTTCATGTCTGGTGACACTGGTGGTAAAGTTATTGTTTGTGATTACGTCGTTTTATTTGGTTAAACGGGGTTTTAAATTACTGAAATAACAAAACAACTAATTATAAACAAAACACGACCTCTACAGTGCATCGGACGGAACTAACGATAAAATTGGCTTCAGCTGTTCCATGACAATGGAAAATCTACTAAGAACGTATGTTTTATCTATGGTAGCGGTTACAATAAAACAAGTCTATTGCAATGCATATTGATACTGCTTGTGTATTTTTAATAGATACATTAATGACTTGACTTACTTGACTTAGTTCCTGTATTCCCTTGGGGGACATAGGGCCGCAAAAAAGCTCTCCACTGTACACAGTTCTGGGCCAGCTGCTTTACTTCTCTCCAGTTCTTGCCTTACTCCTCTATCTCTATCTCGATGGAACTCCTCCAAGTTATCTTTGGTCTTCCCCGTTTTCTGCTTCCTTGGGGGTTCCACTCTAATGCTTGTTTGCTGATGTTATCATTTGGTCATCTTAGAGTGTACGACCCATCCAGCAAACTTCCTTTTCTTGATAACTTCACCAATGGGGCTTTCATGCGTTCTTCTCATAAGCTCTTCGTTTTTTACTCTTTGTGGCCAATGGATGTTGAAAATTTTGCGGAGACATTTGTTTATTAAGACCTACAACTTGCTGGTGACTTTCCATGTCTGGCGAACATACAAGAGAACGGATTTAACATTTGATTCAAATATTCTTAGCTTGGTATTTCTTTGTATCTGGTTTGATCGCCAAACTGGTGTTAGTTGTGCAAATACCCCTTTGGCCTTCCTAATCCTACGCCCCCCATCTTTGACACAGTGCTTCCAAGGTATTGAAATTGGTCCACCTGCTCAATTACCTTATGGCCCACTTCCAGGGAATTATTGTTCCTTGCATTGATTCTCATTTCTTTAGTTTTTTCAAAGTTTATTTTGAGGCCGACCTTCCTTCCATTGGTGTTAAGCTCCTCAAGATTTTCTTTCATATTTTTTAGTGCATGAGATATCAAGCACAAATCATCGGCAAAATCAATATCCTCTAACCTGTCTGTTAGACCCCACTGCAAGCCTCTCTGCCTACTCGTTGTTTTCCTCATTACTTTGTCTAGAACCATGAGGAAAATTATTGGTGACAGTAAGCAGCCTTGTTTAACTCCTGTTCCAATTTCAAATGGCTCCGATAGTTTTCCTTTATGGATTACTTGGCATCTGTAGTTCTCGTAGAATTCTCTGATGAGGTTGATGATTTTTGTCGGCACTCCGAACTCATGCAGTGCTTTCCAAATAGAATCCCTGTTAATAGAGTCGAAGGCATTTTCAAAATCCACGAAGGCCAAATAGACCGATGACTGGTATTCTGAGCATTGCTCAACACTGATTCTTAGGGTGTTGATCATGTTGATACAGGAATGGTCCTTCCTGAAGCCTACTTGTTCTCTACTAAGTTTTGTGTCTATTACATTCTATTTAATATGATTCTAGTAAAGACTGTACTAGCAACAGTCTTAACAAAGCAGGGTAATGCCTCTCCAGTTAGAACATTGTGAGGTATCTCCTTTGGGATTTTGATTAGCATTCCTTTTTCCAGTCATCCGCTATTGTTTCCTTCTCCCATATTTCTTTAAATAATTCCAGGAGTATTTCTGCTGTCAAGTTAGCATTCAATTTAAGCATCTCTGGGGTTATTCTGTCTACACCGGGTGCTTTGCCATTCTTCAAGTCTTTGAGTGCTGTTAATATTTCTACTCCTGTGGGTGTAGCTGTGTTTATTCTAGGGTCTTCCGCATGCATTAATAATGCTTTAACTAAATAAGCAAACAGTTGGTTTTTGGCCCTAGGGATGTAAAAACCTGCTCGGTCCCCAATTGACGATGACAGCTTACATGGACAGCAATACGTAGCTTTCGGCCTCCAATAAACGCCTAAAAACATTGTAGTGTGGTGAAAATATTTTTGTTGCATACAACATCAATTTTTTGTCGATCCCAGTCTTTATATTTTAAAATTCTCTGGTTAACTAAATGTAAAAACTGTCATGTCAATGACTACTTCCTTAGTTTTGAATGTATTTTATCAGCTAAACTCATTCATTTGTGTTCTTCTATTTCAGAATCCCCACAACAGCTCAGAAATTGATGACCAAGAAAGTCAAACAAGTGAAGGAGAAAATGGACAAAGTAAGAGAAGGGCGAAGTATAATAAAGTCCTTAATTCACAATCCAGACATAACCAAAGAAGAATTGACAGAAATGCATGCTAACCTGTTAGAGAAAAATTCTGGAAATTCGGAACCAGATGTTGAAGATTGCAACATTTTGTGGCTACAGGATCCAAACGAATTTAAGCTGGACGATTTGCCTTTGCATGAAAGTTATAGCTGTGATACTGAGATTCAAGAAACAAATGTTTGTTCTAATGTTCTCGTAGAAGGTCAAGTATTGCATCATCTGAAGGTCAAAAGGAACTGTCAAAAGGAAAGAAATGTTTCAGGCATGGTTGATTGTACCGCTTCAGAGCTAATTCCTGTAAATACTGTTACAAGCGAGGACACTGTGCGTTTTAAAACCTGTGATACTTCAAGAAAATACAATTCAGAAAACAGTGTTACAACATTTGATGTTTCAATTTCTTCTGAATCCAGCCAGCTACAGTCACAAAGTTCTTTGCAATCAATAATAATAAGTAAACATGCAGAAGATTCAGGTAGAAAATCAAAAGAATGTACAAATGAAGAGCTTACTACTGAACGTTGTGCAAAATCTTTTGATTCCAAAGTCACTGAAGAAACGGTAAAAATACAAAATTTGGTGAAAAATGATAACACATGTAATAAAATCAAAGTCTGTGATAAAACTAGGAACATTCCATCGAATGAAAGTGGCTCCGGAAACTCTGGACAAAGGTGCCATTCTAATGATTCTGGATCATCTAAATCAAAGCTCAAGTACAAATCCATTCTTCAGTTCAGGCATCTGGGTTCCAGGTAATTTTCACTTTTTATTTAAATTTTGTTCCATCTTAAATAGGGGTTTTCATTATTTAAGTTCTTTAGAAAATTTAAATGGACACTAGAGTTAACCGGCTAAAGTGGTTCAGTTTTTTTCTTATATTTATTTTTATTTTTTTAGATCAAATGTTTATCTAGTTCCTTATGAAATATTTAAAAAAATATATTTACTCTACCGGTAAGTGTTCTTTTTTAAATTTTCAAAAATTAACTATTTTTTCATAGAAAATTAGTAATTAAATTTTTTTATAAAAACTTGTGGGGATGAAAAAATCTAATTCCTTCTGGAAGGAACTAGTATGCTATGTACTAAATATGAGTTAACAATTTGGATACTCTTAGTCTAAAGATGGGTGAGAAAAGTATTATCAAAGTTATGAAAAACTAACGTTCGTAGCGAATGATGATTAAATAAATAAATAAAAATGCCTTTTATTAGCAAGCGCTCCTCAGTACAAACTGTTTTACAGGATGACTCTTGTCAAGTAACTAATCCTAACTTAAAACTAAAGACAAAACAAAAATACTGATCCCCCTATTAACAAGATTTTAGCTATTTACAAAAATACATTTTCTTTAGCCTAGATCTAAAAGCTGGGACACCCAGCATCTTCAGGTCACAGGGGAGGTCATTGTACATTTTAGGCCCAAAGAACGAAAACCCTCTCTTTCCTACTTCCAACCTCACCTTCGGGAAATGAAGCTTTTTGTCTTGTCGGGTATTGCGTTGAGACACCCGATCGCGGGTGACCAGTCTTTCAATGAGGTCGGGATTATTAAAAGTAGAAGTCGTGCTAACCCACTGGCACTCAAATACTTCATTGTTGAAGCAGACTTAGGAGCGCTAGTGTTGTCGCTATTGTGCTTATAACTACAAACAAAGCCAGTCGGCCGATGTTGGCATGGTAGCTCAGTAGGCTAAGGCATTGCACTGACTAGTGTAGCGCAGAGGCGCGGGATCGATTACTGTACGTGTGCAATCCTGACTTTGAGCTCAATAATGTGTAGCTTAGCAGGCGGGAGAAGCCCACCTTAAAAAAACGTCCGTCTTAAGTGGAAGTTGACGGCATTATTGAGTTTAATAGAGACTAGGTGAAACCCGTCAAAATCAACAGTTACTTTCAAGGCTTACGCTAATTCATATAACTGCGATAAATTGAATGAAATTATATATATTTTGAGCATTTAGCATTGTTTAAAGAGTAATAAATGTAAAAACAATAATGATATTAATTGCGTTAGCTACCAAATATGGTTGATCATTCAATGAATAAAATATTTCTCATACTGTACGTCATCGGAGTTATTATTAGTATAGTATGTCATGTGGTATCTCTATGTTATGTGGTATCTCATCCTTTGGAAACCCCGTTAAATAGTATTAAAATTGTATTGGTGGATCTTTTGTAGTTAAACACTTTCACTTTCATCAGTGTAATGAATGCAGATTAATCTAGGCCTATGATTTTATTTGAAAAAAATATCTGTTGGGAAGGACACATTCTAACTTCAAAAGGAGGTATATCTATTAGAGTGTAAGTTTCTTTATAACCTTACTAGCTGTTGTACCCGTGCTTTGCAACGGGAAGAGGGCACAGAATAGAAACATTTGAATCTATAAATCTGTTGCATATAATAGTTACACATCCGCCAACCCTTTTAGAAACAAAATTCAACTTTTATGGCCTTAATAGAAACATTTTTATGACTTTTAAATCTGGTACGTAGTGGATACCACCATTTTGGTTTTGATTAATTTTAAACCTTGTGTAGGCTGATTTGAGAAAAACTGACCAAATCTTCAATAAAATTTTGACATACATGATTTACCTTCATCTCCCTTAATTACATATCTTTTAAATTATTATTGAAATTTTAAATTTCAATTTTGAAGTTGCAAAAATACTAATTATTAAATTTAAATGAACATTTGTTTTAATTTCACTCTTCTTTTTAAATCACAATTCCTTCCATCTTCAATTTCTTCACTCACAATAAATCATTAGCAAAACTAAGTCAGCTGTTATAAACTTTAGAAATATTGCTGTGCCTTATCAATACAGTCTTTTTAAATATTAAAGAAACTATATCACCATGGGTACTATAAAAAATGTTAAACAAATAATTTAGCGTTAAAGACAGCAGACAGATTAATATGATTATCAAAGCATCAAGGACTAAAAAATGTAATAGCAAATACAGTATATGTTTTATTGCATCTCTGATTCTACTCTACAAAATGTCAAAAACCAACTTAATATACAAACCAGTTCTTTTAATCTGTTCCATCGTCCATTGCCTTTACATTTTCACACTTACCATTAAGTAAGCATAGTGACAGATATTTCATTGATTTTAGAAACAAAAGAACACTGTGTACGGCTTAGTTTTATGATATTTTCCTTGGTTTAATTAAATCAGTGTTGTGGCAAAACACTAATAATAAATGTATCAAATGAAGTAAATGTGAACTTAAAGCCATGCTAAGATAAAATAAGAGTATGTTGTATTACCATTTGATAATTAAATATAGTTATACATATAGCCTACAACAGATTTTAGAAAACTAAAATCAACGACGTACAATTTAGTTATTGATGATATTCTTTAGTTTAATTTATGCATAGGTTTGGCAAAACACAATAACTTAATTTACCTAAATATATATTTAAAAAACAATGTGATGTGCAAGTTATGTTAAGTTAATCTAACACATGTTAAGCAGTTAGAATTGATTTAAAGTAGCCTCCAAATTAATTCAAAACATCTCTACATTGTTATTTTCATACTGTTTCCATTAAAACATATCAATAACATTATTTTCATAACTTAGACGCTTTAAAAAATCCATAGCAGAGCCAGAGTCGATACAGCAACGATTATAGATTTTTTTTCTATAATCATTGACATAGTTTTAGATTAAATAATCCATGATAAAAGGTTAGATTAAAATAAACCTACCTCATAGTTATGGAAAATATTATATTTAATAATTTCTTTGTATCAGCTGTCTGGAATTGTGAAATATGCAATTTAGCAGTTCTTTTTGTTTACATTTATATGTCAAAGCAAATGTAAACAAACATTGTTAGTGTTCTCATCGCAGCCATGGAGACCAATCAATATTTACTTTTAAAATGTTCACCTCAGAACGTTTAAAGCCAAAGGGGCAAAGCCTACGGTCAGTGTCGAAATGTGAACAGTCCTATAATGGTCCTTGGTATGGTAGCTATATTTTTGTACAACTTAAGCCCAGTTGGTTCAGTAGTTTTTGCACCTATTAGTAATACACATACAGACACCATTAGATTTTTATATAATAGTAAGTAGTAAGTATATAGAAGTATAGATTGTCATGACAGTAGCTGCTAAAATAGTACTCATTGGACCATTTTTACAGCCAAAATGTTGTATTATTTTTAATAATGTTACCAACCCAGTGGGCCACGGTCCGTAATATAGGCCACTGCAAATAATTTGTCAAGATAGGTACCGTTTTAGGCAAGGTTTCTGTGTTTATAACTTTAAAGGCTTACGGGACAGATCCCTAAGGGAATTTACTTAGTTTTTCTTTTGATTTCTCATCTGCAGACCGAGGCCTTTCTTTAAGACACCTCTACAGAGTTCCTACGCCCAGCCGTCCTCTTAAATTAGTGGAGACAAAATTTCCATAAGTATTTAGATTCCCCAATGTTAATCTTATGGGAGAAAACCCAACTTTGATGGAAGATCCAGCCTGAACTAATAAATATTTCAAAAAAATACACACTTTGCAAAACTGCAGATCAGGGCCATTATTTTGACACTTTAATCATCAAATTCGGTCCAAAAATGAGGGAGGAGTTCTGTTCACAAAAATCGGCTTAGCGTATTATACAGTACACTCCCTCTTATCCGGACTCCTCGGGACCGAGGCCAGTCCGGATAACGGGTTTTCCGGTTAAACCGACGTCCCCAAAAACTCTTTAAAACGGACCGTTTACTGTGATATTCGACTTAAATTTAAGCATTGTATTAGGACACTAGATCACTGGTCTCGAATCTTTCCCGCGAGAACTGAGGTTTCAGTATCGCCCACTTACTGCCGATCTAGTCCGGTTAAACCAATATGCTGATAAAAATTGTCTGGTTAAAGAGATGTCATTTCCGCCGAGTGTAGTCCGGTTAAAAGGTATCCGGATAAGGGGGATTCTACTGTATACAGTAGAACCTCTTTAATCCGAACCCCAGTAATCCGAACGTCCACTAATCCGAACACCTCATTGCTGCAGTCTATACACAGTACAGTAGTTTTATATTGTATACTGTATTTGATGTATAGTACTGTTTATTCACTGTTTAATACTGTATTAAATAAATACTGTATTTTACTTTTCAGCAGCATTTTTTAACTTTTCCCGTAGCAATTACAATCCATTTTCGCCACATATTAGCTATTGTTATGTAAAGACGTTGTTGCATTTGGACTGTCATTGAAGAGACGAATATGTATGGAATAGAATAATTGCATGTCAGTGTCAGATGAAAACGTACCTTACTTTCTGAACCCTAATTAATAATAACTGTACATAACCCTGCAAGTGCCCAATGGAAGGTAAATAGTATGCCTTTGGTTACAGTGCCGACAAGGGTTCCAATGACAAAACCATTCTGTGTCCTTACGATTTGACAGGGAGATGCCAAGATAAAGCTTGCAAGTATCAACATCTCCATTGACCCCTGTAAATATACTTTAGAGTTAAGACTTTTACAGTTATTTATTTTTCATTATTAACATCTAAAATCATATGATTTGTTATTGTAAACCATTATACTCTCCATTCTTTATATGCATAGTTTATATTGCAAGTAACGTCATGTTCAAGTTCCTTTGGTTTAGTTTGTTATTTGTTGAAATTAAGTTTGCATTTACCAAGTTGGTGGAAACTTGAGTTGATAATGTTAAGAATTAATTTGGTACCGGTAAGTAATTTGTCTGTTGCGGAGTGACACTAACGAAGTGCTTATTATGAATTGCATCAACTTGACCATTTGCTTGATGAGTTTGAAGCCTCTGTTTCAGAAGCAGTGGGCACGACTGCTGTGGTTCCGCATGAATAAGGTTGGTCAAAGGTCAGGTACTTAAATAATCCTTATTTATCATTTAAAGATTTACTCATAGGATGTTTTACTTTGTGTTTGGTGCCAGTTTTTAGGTGCTTAACGTAAGATGTCTAGATTGGCGTAATGTAATCTTTTACTTTTATCTTTCCATTCATAACACTCTAAGTTATAAGAAGGTGTTTGTAATTTTTCTGTCTAAGTTTGTTAATACTTGGGAGAGCCAGAAACATGCTGCCATCCTGACAGGGCATCTAAGAAGCTAATACTTAGCACTCTCAGTGCGGTCGACATTTATTTCAATGTTGTTCAATGTTCATTAGTACTCGACGTGTTAGGCTGTTGATTACAATAACTTTTATAAAACGGCACATTTTCAGTTATTTCTTGTTACATTTATTTCGTGGCCCATTCTACACGAGTATGAATCCCGCAACAGGAGCTTCGCATGGCCTTGCCAATATAGACTGTGTATGTAGACTGTAGACTGTGTAGACTGTGTATGTAATGTAAACTGTGTGAAACCCATGTGAGGCCATTCTAGACGAGGTGGCTCAGATCCAGTGGAGATAAGTTGAATAGCTTGGGTTGTCTAACTCCAACTATTTCAACTGCTGAGGAAGAAACGTAAGAAGAGCCGATGGTGGACACATCAAACATTATCAAACAGATGCGCCAGAGGGACATTCCATGTCATGTTTAATGACCATCGGAGGTACCCGTAATAGTGTTTCCAGTTTTACAGAAGGTCTGTTGAGACATTCGATGAACTATTAGGCGGGTTACACACCGGTATCGCCGACATAATGTCGCAGATATTTCTGATGTCGCGGGCATGTTGTCGGCGACATACAATAAAATACAAACCATGGAAGAGGCACGTGCTGGCGACATGAAAGTGAAGGAATCACAAAATTCATCAGTTTAAATAATGTCATCGTCAGAAGAAGATGATGTGTTGTTGCTGTTGTTCTTTCTACAAAAACATTAAAGATAATTTCATGGTAATTTTTCCAAAATACATTGTAATTAATTGTATTACAGTACTTACGTAATTTCCTTATGGTGTCAATTGGAGTATTATAATATCACAATACTACAGTTCACACCATAAGGCAATTAAGTAAGTAAAAAAGCGCCAAAACTACTAGAAACGTGTTCTGCGCATGCGCGGGCCCAAGAGACATGTCTGTCCAAACACCGACCGGTTGGTTCACTCGAGACACGCGCCTGCGACAAGCTCCATAAATTAACATAGGTTGGTTTTCGAGAGGCATGTCGCAGGCACAAAAAATATCTGCGACATCATGTCGGAGATACCAGTGTGTAACCCGCCTTACTATTGCTGTGTCACATTGAGAAGAGAGATGCTGCCATGATTTTTGTTTTGGATTGCTCTGGTGACTCCCATTCTTGGTATAGTACATAACTTTGTCAAATTAATTCAAATTTTTGGCCTTTATCTCACGATTAGAAAAATCCTTGGTACAACATACTGTTCAGACCGAACCTCACAAAGAAAGTACTCTGGGTCATACCACAATGTGTTAACCCAATTAATGCGGTAGATGTGAAGTGAGGGTGATAACGCTACGTGTAGAATAGCACACGCCAATTTAAAGCAATGGCTCGGAAATCCCGTGGCAGGTTTCACACTCACGCAGAATGGGCCTTGGTTTTCCGGTAAATAAAAAAATTAGAAAAACGACTAATAATCGTAATATAATAAGAAAATATTAAATATAAATTGCCATAATAGTTTTTGTAGAATAATTCTGTAAACAATCAAGGAAAATTAGTTTCTGAGCTTTTATTCTACTGAATTATTACAAATTATCAAAGTATTATAAACATTTAAAATGAACTTTGAATCAAGTAATTATGTCGTAAACTAGCTAGCTTTAAAGTTTGCCTCGTGAAGTTATTATTTAGTTGCATTACAATTTACTTTCTATTTCTAACTTCAACGTCTCTTTTCCCCAATGGGAAAAAAACTATTTTTCCTACAGTCACCCGACAAAGTTGGCTTCCTTGTACTGTTTATAGCACAGAAAGCTGCTAATTGCTGCATATTTATACTTTGCTGTATGGTTTATACTTAATCGTACGGTTTATACTTTGCCGCACATCAGGATTCCAACAAAACAACTCAAAACAGCGTGGTTCTATTATGCACGTAATCCGTGTACGCTTGGAAATAGGTTGGCAACACTTAAAGATAATAATACTATGAGCAGCTGATTGACTATTATAACTACGATTTAACCTGTCATTTCGTGTTTATAGTTTCGGTATTTCTGAACTTGGACTTTTCTTTTAAACGTTTTTAAAACATTCCTACGATCTTAATAAACAAGAAAATACCTTTAAAGCATTTTTTGTAGGCGCGGAAACCACTTCAAATTACAAAAACATACGGAACTATATTCTCAAAACGCGGAGCACATTTCATGCCGAGGAAAAATAGCGGAGTGATACGGACCGGGTACTACTTTCTCTAGGACACCTATTTGTGCTGCCAGCTGAACCTAAAAACGTGTTGTATAGTGTTTGAAAGACTAATTATTTATATGCTTTATAGTGACTGTAGGAAACATATAATGTGTAACACGAGTGCAAAAGGCCTTTGCTGCACTCGAGATCATACCATTGCTCTCTTGTGACCTACCTACAATTTTATTTGTTGCATTAGATATGCATATATTTGTTAGTTAGTTCTTGGTTTGGCATTTAATTTCTTAACCAACTAATAAGCTGATGAGAGTTTATACAGTATTATATACATTCATTGCTTAACATTTGTTTCAGCTCGGTAGATTATTCCAAAGCATGGACTTTAGTATCACATGGTAAGTTGGCTCTACACAGTATCCAATTGTCTTGTCACTGTTCATTTTTGTTACACGTAACACAATGGTTTTTATTCCACCCTAAGACATCATACATTGCCACTACTTGCACACACTTGTGTTTCATACACAATACTTGTATCTTATATTTCTGGCATGTCTATTTTGTTCTCAGCATAATGAAGTTTCTTAAAAAATATATAAATATGATTCAATTTTTGCTTATTGGATTCAATTTTGCAAATCTTTAACAAATCATTGGGAAAAAATTAATGTGTAAGTTATCTTATACTTTTATCTTACAATTAGAACTAAGCTAGCTTGGTCTTGAGTTTTGATTGTACATCCTGTTGGTGGAGTGCTACCTTTAGATCTGTTGAATATTTGTTTAATTGCTTATACTTATCTGCTTGGTTTATGGCGCCCTACATTTTCTCTTTGGTGGTTGAATTTATTTAATTTCTACCATTGAAAGTTCTTACTTGGCTCTTTGGTTTTTATAGTATGAAACATAGGACTAATAAATGAAACTGATTCATTAGCTTTTTAAATATTTTAATTATTACACTGAAAGAGTGAAAGGTAAATTTGTACTGTTTTGGAGGTCTCTTTGCTTATAACTTTTTCAATCCAATAATAAAGCGTTAATGTAAATTTAACCATTCACAGTTCTAGAGTTGTAGATATGGTGGTGGGGATGTAAAAAGTGTAAAGAGTAATATTTTCTTAAAACTAGGACGGATATAATTTTTTTTTCTTTATCTTATACAGTGCCAAGGTTAAGGAGGAGATGCATTATTTATGATCAAATGTAGGCAGAATACAAAATATGCAATACTAATACTAATAGAATACTAATAGGCTATGTCACCCCAGCCAACTCAAAAAGCAATGTCTGTTGCAAGTTGTTTTTATTTCCTAGAGACATATAATAACTATGATTACACGCTCCAACTCAAGATAGTTACATAAATCGTTCTAATTTTAAAATTGGTCCTGTTGTGTTTTTATTTTGTAATCATACGAGTCAAGTACAAAACGATTTAACGATTCTTTTGTTTTAGGTAATACCAACCCGTATTTCATTGTTATCTTCCTTTTGTTAAGTAAATTTCCTAAACTGTTAAAACATATATTTTTAAGTATATTTATACCTGTCCTTTATTAAAAGGTAAACAAGGCCTAACTAATATGAGTTAAAAAATAATCATTGTAAATTTATTAATCTCAACTTCAGGTTGCAAGGAGTGTTTTTAATGGTTTCCTTGTTCTTTTGTTGTCGGAAGTTTTGCAAGGTTGATGTCCATTATTAAATGTGATCAGTCTAGTCTAGTTTGGACGTAATAATAATAACATTAGGATCCAATTTTCAGGGTGGCAGGATTTTGGCAGAACAGTTAAGCTACAACACTTTCCACCCTAATAGTTTGAAAATTGGGGTTGGTCTGGGGTCTGGGTCAGTAGATAGTTTCTAGTACAGTTTGGGCTGAAAATTGTATTATTAGAGAAATTATGTGTTAACGTTATCAATACTCCTGATTTAATAAGTATTTGAGGTTAATAGTGGCGCCCAGTGATGTTTAACTCCTCTGCTCAAAGAATACAACACCCTGCCTCCCTGAAACTTGCATTTCACTAGGAAAAGGTGAGTTCAGTTGCATGCCAAACCCAAGACCAAGCTAGTTTAGTCATCATGCCAATCCTTATCCCACAAACATGTTTATTTCACATTCAGCCATAGCAAGAAAGTTCGGAAGAAGAAAATGTTTGGTGTTCTTTGCAATTAGACGGAAGAATGACTTTAGACTAAAAAAGATATTAGTCGGTGCTCACTCCAACTCTAGTGTTCAAGATTGTCGGTCCAAGTTTGCTATTCAAGAAGTGAAGAACAATTGTGCAAGATGTCGGCTTGAACAAGAAATTTTCTGTGTGAATTAAAAGTGAGAATCAAGTGTGGAACTCATATAATTTTGTTACCTTGTACTCATAAAAGTACATTAAATATTTAAGTGAACTGCCTAAATACTTCAGGCATATATGTAATAAAAAGCTGTCTAATTTTATACCAATAAAATTATTTGTTTTGTATTCTTTGTCTTGGCATTCATAGTTCCTTGAATTGTTTAGTGGATCTAGTAGAATCTTTTGGAAAAATTCTTGTGTGAAAGAAGTAGTAAATCTCATGATTGGTCTAACTACTCAAATATTATGTCAGTGTAAAATAATTAATTGTAAAATCTGTGTCAAACAAAGTTGGCTATGATAAAATTTATATACCTTCAGATGGATATAAAAAAAATATGTATGATTCAGTTGTTTCTGTCTTTTAATATTCATGGTTGATTGTGATAAAAGGGGATTGGAGGTTTGTTTAAACTTTGTTCAAAATTATCAATTTATGAAGTCTTCAGCACAAATAAAATCTTTTTCATCACTCTGTATTCAAAAATTTCCCATTTGCATGCAGCTGAGATCTTCAATTTCCACTATACGCTAGTTCAATTTCCATACACTAAAAACAAATAGTGAACAACTGACTTTTCCTGAAATAAACATTACTTTCGCTACACAAACAATGAAACAATACCTTACTTAACATCAACAAAATTACTATCAGCTGAATTTTTCACTAAAAATTGTACAGCCGTATATTGTGTTTAGATTAGAAAAATGAATAGATTACGAAATATCAGATAATATAGCCAAAGATTACACATTATAGCCTTCTATTAGCATACTGAGGTGCTAAAAACAAAACTGACTGGCTACAGTTGAATTTGTGAGATAACTGTATAGCAAAAAATATACAATTTGTATTGCCATACAACCAAAAACAATGGTGATATATGAAATAAGCAATTTTTCATGGCATCTAATCTCACAAAGGAAGGAGACCCTTCTTTCTTATTAATTGAATTATTACTGAAATAAAATTATACCAGACATAGTCCGGCAGAATTGACCCGAACCTGGTTTTGTCCTATTAAGTTTTTTTTATTGTTGATATGTGATATCTAGGGTGAGTAGACCCTAAAACCACCGGGTACTTTTTTGGTACCCTTGGGCAACAGCCGCCATCTTGGAAAATGGCGGGAAACGTAAATTACAGTGTAAGCTTTTACTTAAACCAATGTAATTAAAAAACTATTTAAGATGGAACAATGCATGTTATTTTAAAATGTTTGTGGTTAAATTTTCTACTCAGAAATACCGTATATTAAATATATATAATTTGTTTTAAGGTCAGCATTACTTTTCAAAGTTTATAATTTATAAAAAAATAATGTTTAGCGTTAGTCATAAAAGTGCTAAAAGAATCATGTAAAATCATTCAAAATCATTTATATGGACAACGTTATTAATCTATGTTACATGTTATTTATATCGTAAATTTAAGTTTTTTTTTTACTGTGTCTAATAGGCAAAGTTTATTAATAAACTCAGTTTTCAAAATAAAATAAATTATTTTTATTTCAATTTTGCGCCTTAATTACTCAAAATATGACTATAATATGTTTTATAAAGTTTGTAGAGCTTTAAATTTGGCATCGAATACATCTATTGGATGCTTTGTTGGCTCAAGGGTAACGCCAGAGCAAAGCGTTAGAAAATATTTTTTTTATTGATTTTCGTTGTAAAATAAGGATATTTTACATGTTCAATAAAGTTGTAACATCTTTCCTGAGGCCATCCGCCACTTCTCTCTGGCTGTTTTTGGTATTAAAATGTTTGTAAAATTACCAAATTTAATTTGAACTATTAACTGTTTATATTTAAGGACTTTAAGGCCGATCTATTCATCTTCACTCCAAAGAAACAATATTTTTTCAAAAAGAAAAGTTTAAATTTTGACCAACCCATTGAGTTATTATTATTAGATGGTGTATGTATTGCAACAAAACACTCAGTAAACAATTGGCATCCATTTGACATGTAGATCACTGAAAACGAACGAGTCGGAGGTGAATTACAAGACTTCAACCAACAAAGATTTTAATGGTTGTATAAATTTCTTTGAAAAAAAGATTGTTACCTCGATTACTGATTATGCAATGTTATGTTTTTTTTTATTAAAATACTCAGCAAACTACTGGCTTTCATTTGAGGCATTGGTCATTCAAATCTATCGGGTTTGAGGGGATTTATAAAACTTAAACCAAATAACATTTTAGTTTTTCCAAGATTTTTCTTTAATTAAATATATTATCTCAGGTTATAATTACGTTATATGAAATGTTATATACTATGAATACTCAGTGAGTTACTGGCTTTAATCCAAGCCATTGACTATTAAAATCGGCTGAGTTGAACATGAGTTGTGGACCCCAAAAAATAAAAATTTGACTTTTTTACATTTTATCTTTAGTTAATGATTGTGTCTCATGTTATTTTTACGTGATATTGTATGTTGTGGTATAGGAATACTCAGTGAGTTAATGCGGTTCTTTTCAGCTATTTATTATTGCAATCTGACGTGTTTGGGGCGAGTTATAAGCTTAAACGTAGAATAAAAGGTTTTGTTTCTTAACTTTCTTCTGTATTTAAAGACATATTTCCCAGCTGCTATGTGTACTATGTTGTTCGTTCTGGTCTAAAAACACTAGGTCAACTTAGAACTTTCATTTGAGACAATTTTCATTTAAATATGTAGAGCTTAAGGTGAGTTGTAGACCTCTAACTAACATTAGGTTTTCAATTTTTAAGGACTGTCTTTTATTAAAGATCTATATCTCAAGATCTAAATGAGCTGTGTTATTCATTTTGGTGAAGAGAACATCAGTAAGCTATGGGTAAACTCAGATATGAACCTAACCTGGTTTATTCCTATCAAGTTTTTATTTTGTTGCGTTTGATATACACCAGTGAACAGAATTGAAAAATACGTAGTTGCGTGAACTCAGGCACACCTTGCACAGTATTTTGCTATTGTGGATATAATACCTGTTTAAATAGAAAAGAACAAATTCAAGACGTCAGTGAAGACTATGACAATGTAGAAAAATGAGTTAATACCCCCGCTGCAGCAAACCTGACGAATGAGCAAATTTCCATTTGCCTGCATTGATTTTCAATTAATCTATTAAATTCACATTTTAGTTTAACGAGTACCTAGGTTTGCTGCTAAAGGGAAACTAATAAAGTGTATTTTTTGTTAAAATAATTCTTTATTTTTATTATTTTTTATTATTATTCTTATAGCTTAGTATAGAATAAATCTGCCAAGTTTGATCAAAATATATCAAAAAACAAGCCAACTAAAACATTTTACAATATTCTCCATAAGAATAACATGAGATTTTAAATAAACTATTTTTTAAATTTTCTATATATATATATATATATATGTATATAGATATATAAATCTGAGCGAAAGAGTGGTTTTGGCCTCTGGGGACATCAAAAGGATGTAAATCATTCCCGGTTCTAGGTCTTACCATGAGACCTACAGTAATAGCTACTTCCCTATAGAGAAAGCGCTAATAGCCACTAAGGTTACTGAAACGTTATTTACAAGTTATTTCTACATGTAGGCTTATTATGTAAGTTACAATTTTAGATGAATAAAATATTTATGTTACAATACAAAATAATAAAACTCAACTATGTTAAAATCTATTTTAGCATCTATAAGCATAGCCACAAGTGCTACGGGAATTCAGTTAACTTCATACTCGAGTATTATTACATGCCATAATAATGATGTAAAGAATGTGTCTTGCTAGTAACCTCAGGTTTAAATTGGCAAAACTTATATTTTGTTCGCTTATAGGTAACACTAAAACAAGGTCGTATAACAATTTTTTTTTAATTGAACAAAAAATTCAATTCTTAAAGATAAAAACCACTTTTTCCGCCGCCAGTTTGAAACAGCTTTGATATGGCTAATATCTGGTAAATTTATGAGTAACATTATAACGAGGTTTCATACTAAATTTCATGATATTCGAACTAAAAACGCATAGTTTATAGCTTAATTACCATGTTTTAAATTAATCGATTTATTTATTAATATGGACAATTATTATCTCAAATTCTAGAAATTGCCCAAAGGTAATTTGTAAGTACCCGCTATTTTCTGCATCTATATACTACCAAAATAAAATATCATCGGTAAAAACTTAATAGAACAAAACAGGGTTCAAGGGAAATTCCCTGTTTGGTTGACAGACTATTCCCAATTTACAAATCAACATTGATGATCTATACTTAAAATTTTTTGAAACCCAATAATTGATATTTTCTATGAAAGTCAGTACGTTACCGAATGTGTTCATATAAATACATAAAACATAACATAATAATCACTAAATAAAGGGCTTTGATGAGACTTTTTTTTAATTAAAAATACTCTTTTTTGGGGGGGGGGTCCATAACTAGCTACATCCTATGATTTGAATTTTAATTAGCGTAAATGCAAGCCGTTGGTTTATTGAGCATTTTGATACCAAAAACAGTAGAAAAGAACTTCAGGATATTCTTAGGAAGAGTTATATAAATTATTTTCATTTATTAGATACCCCTCATTGTCATAGAAAAAATAAATAAAAGTTATTTTTTACACATTGTTGTGACGTTATCATTGATCCAACAAAGATCCCTATAGGTGCATTGGATGCACAATTTTAAGATCTACAACTTTTGTAACATGTATCATGGCCTTTTTTCAGAGATTTTAGCACAAAGTTGAAAAAAGCAGGGATAGAACATATTTTTTATCTAAATTATTAAATTTAAAAATAAATACTGGCCTTAAAACCCACAATCTATCTATATATTAATAGGCAAGCATGTTTCTTTAAAACCTTTTTTCTCAGCTCGTGTGCATCGTAGGGAAAATCTACACATACTGTTAGAAAGCTATTTTCCTGTAGGTGTGCAGAATCCCTTTATAAATTAAAATAGGCTCAAAAATAAGCACAAAAAATGAATTTAAAATTTTGAAAAATTTAACATGGATATTATGAGTTGCCATGCTGGTGACGAAATAGCAACGAAATATAAACAGGAAATCAAAACAAATAGAAGAAACTCCAATCACATGTTCTATTCAAAGTGTGGAATGAAAATAAAGAAGTCTGTACATTACA